TTAAATGTAACAACTAAGGATTAGAATTTGGAGAATTTTTTTTTTTTTTTACTCCCACGTTCTTTATCAGTCAAAAAGAAATTTTAATGTTAAAATTTAAAAAAAAAAAAAAACTAAATAAAATCCCTACCAAACACCGTAATAAGCCATCGAATCAGAAAAAAATAATTAGCATAAACACAACGCATTTTCCCTTGCCATCATATCTATATTTTGTATATAATTCGCCAGCAAAGGTCAAACAACAAGACCAAGACCACGCAGGATATATATAGATACGCCAGGGCAAGCAAGACGCCTGCAAACCCTCCCCTCGCTTGCCAGCCAGCTTACGGCGTCTGCTAAGCCGCGGGTCGGCTATAGTTCATGGACGTGAAATAAAAAGTGTGCAGTGACATATCATGAAAAAGGTGTGTGTGTGTGGGGGGAGGGGGGGGGGTAGCAAAATTGTCATTCTTAAATGTGCGTAACTTGAGTTGTTTTTTTTTTCAAGTAACTTTAGTAGCTGGGAAGTTCACGCATTGCTGTCGCCAATGTTTGGCGGGCTACATCTAGTATCAAATAATGAAGTTCTTGATTGACTACCCCAGTCCATCCTTTTATCCTTAAGCGTAATATCTATTATATCTCCATAGTAAATATAATTAATCCAATAAATATATACATGTACACACATTTTTCAATTTAATACGCCTAATTATTGAACTGAGTGAAATCACTTTATTTTGTTTTATATTACCTTCGCTTTTGTTTGTGGCTTGCTGGAAAAATCTGCGGACGGCAAATGATTAACTTCCCGTAAAGCTATCGAGCTGAAACTTGGCACATACATTCGTTGCCGATGACATCACCTTGTATCCAGTTTTCAAATGCTTTTCTCTTTTCATGTCTGTTATTTCTGAACATTTTAACTTTTCTAATTAGAATACAGGCAAAGATTATTTTCTGATTGTATTTTTTTTAAAATCTAAAATTGATGTTTTACAAAAATTAAAATTGTTTGCATACTATTTGTACCTGGCTAGTATTTTACTTTTTCACTTCCTGTAAGTTAATACAGTTTTTATTTCTGAATATTTGATTTTGTATTTGTATATCAACTTAATGGTATAATTAAATTGATACTTGTTAATGCCACTAGCTTTTTAAAAAATATAGTTTGTATTTATATATTGATTTTTCAGCACTTTGTTACGCATTGTCATTGTTCGTTCACCCAACGAGCCAAATCTTAAAATTAATACATTTCTAAAACCATATAACGTTACGTAACACTGTAAAGACAACCAATTTATTTTCTCTGAAGAGATGACTAGCGCTTAGAATAAAATCTGAGATCACTTTATCTTTGTAGACGTGTAGATTGCGATAGATGTTCATTAACAATTTAGTTGATCGACTTATCCGAGTCTCGTCACTTCATGTACAATACATCTGAAGATTTTGTTTGGGTTCTGTGCAGTGCTTTTTTTAGACAATTTCTCAGGGGTGGGGGGATTTTAGATTTTTGGGGGGCGAGGGGGTAGTGCTAGATGCATAGACGGGATGAGAGGGGACAGATCGGTGCTTAAATACGCTTTGGTGGTATTTAAAAGTTGATCGACTTATCCGAGTCTCGTCACTTCATGTACAATACATCTGAAGATTTTGGTTGGGTTCTGTGCAGTGCTTTTTTTAGACAATTTCTCAGGGGTGGGGGGTTTTTAGATTTTTGGGGGGCGAGGGGGTAGTGCTAGATGCATAGACGGGATGAGAGGGGACAGATCGGTGCTTAAATACGCTTTGGTGGTATTTAATGGATAAAATAATGATTTTTATAATTGAAAAGAGGGGGGGGGGCGTAAAATGCAAATTACCACTGGTCCCAAACACTTTATCTACACCTCTGCCACAATGGGCTGGCTCGGCCCGGTGTCAATTTTGCAATTATATGGTCGGGAGACATTTTCTGTTAACTGCAGAGTTGGTTTTGTCAAAGGGAGTGCAAAAGTACGTTCTGTGGAGTCACCTCCCTGAAAATAATTGATTATTTCAAAATCAAGAGGTGCATTTTAAGGTATACTGAGTTCAGTTTTTATATTTCTCGGGGTGGGGGGGGGAATAGTTTAAACGACCGAGGGGCGCCACGTGCCATACATACACTGAATTCTCCCCAGTTGTGGCGTGCGCTCATAGTAATCATTTGGCTAACCCTTAGATAAAACTCCGTAGTGTCACACTCATTAGTACGAGGGAAGAGGAGTGCAGAAATTGAGGATGTTAATTTGTAGTGATGCATTTTGGCGCATGCTTGAACTCGATGTTTCTTTCAGACAATTTTGATAGGTCATTTCAGACATTCGGGTGGGGAGTGCAAAAATTAATTATAATAATGATCAAGAATATCTCTAGCGCCACCCCAACCAACATGAACTAAATTAATTCCAATTGTGACGCCCTTTAGGATTTCTATTTTAGAGTCTAAGACGCCATGCATTGGATGAATAACAAACTTACCAGGACTAAAAACTCATTAAAACACATCAAGTATGGATACTATTACGATTCTTGGAATTAAATTAAAAATGATTAGAATATAATGGTATTGAAAATTCTCTATGCTAATAAGGTCTGTGAAAATCGGAAAAGGACTTGAATTTACAGAAAAAAATATTAAAAATAATTTGTTATAATAGTAATAACAATAATAAAATACGCGTTAAAGAATTTTTTCCCCAGTGGAATGGGTAAGACAAGTTTATTACTTAATTACTTTAAATAATTAATAACAATAAAAATTATGAAAAGTTACACAAAATAAAAATAAAATAAGAACCTAATAATGATAAATGCTAAACAATACTTTAAAAAAAAACACAATCAATTTTTGTCCCATCCCCTTTTTGATGTAATTTCCTGGCCTATGCCTGGATGAGATCCTTAAAAAAAATTAACCAACTACAAAGTACATTTTTAAAAAAAAATGTTATAATGATGATTTAATCAGTAGATAAGTTAAACCATTATAGAAAGAAATGTATTCCTGCTTTTTATAGAAATGCATTATCAATGGTAGCTTTAAAAAAAAATCTACAACTTATAGTTTTATTTCGTAGCATATATAGATTATAACAAGGGCTCAACCGGGTGCAGTTTTTTTCAAAGGTGTAAGGGTATTTTGATAATTATCTGGTGGGTCCAAGTGTTACACACAAAAATTCACTACTTATGATCTAGAAACAATAGTCCTTTCAGACAGTCGTGCATCCTACCTGCCGGCCTTTAAACAAAGGCACTACAAAGATGCCGGCACCTTACCTGTCGGTATTGAAACGATTGTCCTACAGCTAGTCTTAACCGCACCTGCCGGTCTTTAAACTTTAAATAATGGTCCTACAGACAGTCTCACACCCTACGTGCCAGCGTTTAAACAATGGGAGGTATTGGGGGGGGGGGTTAGTTGTTGGAGAGGGTGAGGGAACACAACGATGTGATAGGATACAATGGTTAGATGGTGGAGTGGTCAAAGTGTAATAGACGGGGCTGGAATTCAGGGAAGAACTGAGTTAATTGTTGCAGGTGGGGATGTAGCTATTTTGAGATAGTATGATCAAATTTCATTTGTTTGAAGGATAAATAAAATGTATTGGATTTATTTTACATGCTTATGATCAAGGTGTCAAGATTAAAGCCACATCACATTAAAAATATAAAAAAAATACTTGTATTAACTCAAATAGCACACATATTCTGGTGAAGGGCTGAGATTATTCTCTTATGAGACCCGTCTAGTAAATTGGCTACCAGCTCCATCTGCTGAGATGAGCCATACAACATTTTCCTCACAAAGGGTTCTACAGGCGGACTAACTCCACTGAATGGATAGCATTTGATAAGGATACCTGGCAACGCCGGGAAATAATATCATAACCAGCAAGTCATATTATTTGCGATCATGTAGTTTTGAACATAATTTAATCATATAATGATGTCATATGACTGATTATTGAACGTCCCGCAATTAGAAATCAATCTGCTCATGAATTGAAAATTTAAAAAAAAAAAAAAAAAAAAAAAAAAATAAAAAAAAAAAAAAAAAAAAAAAAAAATGATTACACATGACTGATGGAAATGATGTCATGTAAATGACGCTAGTTTTATTAATCAGTAAAGTTTACGAGTAAAAATATTAATGAGTCTCAGGTTTACATACCCTTGGTGGAATAAACTACCACTGAAAGTGGCTTTATGCCCTTTCATCCATGTGGCGCTACAACCCATCTATGGTTTTGGACTGCACCACCACATCCGTCCACTCAGACCTAACTGATGCTTTTCTTTTCCGTGCTTGGATTCCCAGCTGCTGTCGATCCCTCTCCACATCATCCATCCACCTGAGCCTATATTTTATGTACTAAACTCAACTTTAAAAATATATATGTAATATTTTTGCTTACAATTAGCTTCGAAATTTGACTAAAATTCTTTCTCATGTATGTTTTAAACAGAAATATGTTGGCTTCATAGGATATCTAACACGAAACGTGGGTATCACAATCTTCTTGTCAAATTGATTCTCCCGAAAAAAGGAAACGAAGCCAAAATAGATCGCTTTGCAAATTATTGCTTTTCTCAACAGAAAAAAAAATAAATTATTCCTTGGGATGAATGACAAACTTGCCAGGGAAAAAACCCCACTACATCACATCATTTGTGACTATATAGATACTGATGTAATGCGGAGACTTTTTAAGAAAAAACTGATTAGTCTAAAATGGTATTGAAAATTCTCAATAGAAATAAGGTCTGTGAGGACAAAATAAAAAAAAAAGGACTTCTTTGTACAGAGAATATAATAATTAAAATAGTATAATAATATTTTTTTTTAAATTAAAAAAAATAAAAACTTGTAAAATATTGTTTCCCAGTGTGTTTGATACGACTCTTTTATTACTTATTTACATCAGATAATTTTTAAAAAACGAAATAGATGATATGTTAAACCAAATAATAAATTAGGACCTAAAATGATCAATAAAAACCAACTCCTTAAATTGTATATGAAAAATGCACAAACAATTTTTATGTTATCACTAAAACTTCTTGGTGAAATTTCCCGGTCTAAGCCTTGGTGATATGCTACATACAAAAAAATTAAATAATTATAACCTAACCCAGATTTCGTCAGTACATAAATTAAACCGTTTTCGTACCATTAAAATAAAACATATTCTTAAAAGTTTTCCTGTACCGACTGTTCATGTTGTAGTAGACCAAAATATTTACACTAGAGTTTAAGGCCTCCAACACAAAGGTAATACTGTAAGCCACATAAAATAAATTTCTATACTTCCCCGTCAGGGTGAATTCAAACTCTTTCACTGATACGATAACGACGATGATGGACGGGGTCACGCTGACCAGAAATATGACAGAGACAACTGTGACCATCTTGACCGCGCGGCGATCTTTGGAGGAGTTACTCCCTTTGTCCCCAGACCCTGTGGTGGAAGTTCCTTCCCGCCATTTCGTCTTCCTGTTGAGTTGAATCGTGATGATAACGGTGCAGAACAACACCAACCCAAATGAGCTGAACGACGACAAGGGGTTGTTAATAACGTTGGAAATTTTGGTGACCTCCCATGAGTTCTCGGTCAGCTTCAACCCCACCAAGCTGCGATTGTATTCCGGGTAGAACTTCCAACCGATGCTGTGCGTAGCGTAGGTTGGGACCACCCCGGCTAAGACAATGACGTAGATCGAGACCAGACAAAGTTTGACACGAGACGTCGTCAGAACCGTTTTGACTTTCAAAGGTATGGCGATGCAGAGGCATCTTTCGAACATGATGAACGCCGTGACCCAGCTGGTCACCTTGGTGAAGATCGTGTGCGGCCATCCCGCGGACAGAAACTGGACTTCGGCACCAATGAAATCAACGTTCGTACCGAGAAATCTGGGATCGACTAGTAAACCGTGCCACACCAAGGGCAGGAGCGAGCACAGGTCTGAGACCGCTAACGCGAAGAGGCTGATGTTGACGGTATCCTTGAAGCCATGCTTGGAGAAAATCACACAGTTAATCACGTTTGCCACCGATCCCACGAAAACTAAACAAAAGTTGATCCAAATTGTACCGAAAATGAAATCAGCTGTGAATGTTGCGTCGATGATCAATATGTCTGTGTCGTTACTGAAGTAAGATGACATTTTATTATTTTTATTCCATATAATTCCGCTTTTATTCAATTTGATTTACTTTCCAACCAAGCACGATGACGTGAAAAAGGATGAATTTCAATTTTAAAATCTAATTCAGCACTTTGAGATTTTTAAATTTTTTTTTATATATATATTTTAATGAATATTTTATCAAATTAAGAATACCATGTTACCTAAATATTTTAAGACATTTGTTATGCCCACCAGTTAATTTTACGAAAATATTTGAGAACACAACTTGAAGGAACTCCCACTAGAATTTTCAAATTCCCTCTCCAAACGCTTGACTAGTTCTCTGGCATTAAGTAAATGCTTCCTTTATTTATAGCGTGTGAAGTTAGCATCGATCTCAGATCCCCCCCCCCCTCCCGAGTCTTTGTTGAGTTTTTTTTTATAACTTTCACCTTTCAAATGTTGAAGCTGTCATGTTTTTAGACGACTGATTGCGATATACTCATTTATTAATTATTCGTACGGGATAATTATACCAGCCCTGCTGTAAATTCTCTACGCCTGATTGAATCGCGTGACCTACACCGTAATCGTTGTGTATCGAATTCGCGAAGACTGAGCTCGGGAAGTGACGACATCACTCGTAAAAGTTCATAGCACCAACTGAGGTGATATTTGTGAACTATTACCACGATTTACTCTGGCGATAATTGCTTTATTAAAAATAATTTACTTGACGAAGCGATCGTTAAAAAATGGGGAAATTGGCAACGATTGCCAGGCAATGCTTCCTTTATTTAATTAGTGAATCTATATTCTACCCATAAACCTCTCTTAAACTCTCTTTTAGTGCACAATGAAAAACGCGCCACATTTCTCTGACTGCTGTGCTGGATCTAGAGTAAATATTGATCGTTGATTTGTGCGGTATTTTGAGATTGATTTCTCAAAAATGATAACATGTCACATAAAACCTTTGATACAACGAAGACATTTGATCTCATTTAATGTTAGCGCAGGGAATGCTAAACATGTGGTGTAAAGTATCTGGCTTATAAATCTTCCACAATCATTTCAGCAATAAATAGGAAAATATGTTAAAAGTATAAAGCTTATAGCATCAAGGTATTTGTTTGTTTATATACATCTGTAAATATATATATATAT